CTTGTGGTGTTTGTGTGTGTGTGTGTGTGTGTGTGTGTGTGTGTGTGTGTGTGTGTGTGTGTGTGTGTGAACAATAACAATAGTCATAGTGGGCGCACCAGAGAGTAGCAGGGGGAAGAAGGTGAAGTGGAGTTTGTCTTCCTTCAAATTTACAGCTGCCTCTAATGTCTAAGGTCGTGTGTGTGTGAGGTCCCTTCTTCATGTTATGACTGTCAGCGTCTGATAAATGGACTGTTTGTGTCATGCAGCATGTCTGACGTCCCCTCATGGAGTGCCTCACCGTTGCGGAAATACATTCCTTTCTTTACCATGTTGCTTTTGACCAAGAGGGACGAAGCAAAGTGAAACCACACACAAGTGCATGCAAATGCGTCAAAGAGGCCAAACCGGAAGACGCACAGTTTAGGGTCACAAAAAGTCAATTCTTTCACATGTTTCTACTTTGGGTTGCCAATAATAGCAAACTTTATTTGGCTCACTATGCTGGAAAGGTCTCTAATGGCCGTTTCAATTCCCTCTGAGGGATGGAGAGCAATGCAAACGGACCTCTCTCTATTCTGGGATTGGTGCCACAACAATCTTCACATCTAAAGTGGTTTTGTGGGTCAAAAAAAGAGTCAAAGATGGTTCAAAGTTCATGTCTTTGGACTATAAAATCTTGCAACATGTTGGCCTTGATTTCGACCATCTTGTTTGTTGCACAGCCTCTGCTCGCTGAGATGGAAAAATCTGGTCAACAATAAGTCACATGCAGGAACTTTTGTCAATGTCACCAAAACATGGCAGCTCTGTCGCCCGGTGCTGGCTCAAGGCAGGTGGGGAGGCTGAGGGAATGGAAAATGCAGCATGGAGAAAGGAACAGAGGTGACACACATAGCCTCGAGGTTAAAGCGAGAGATACAAAGATGAACTGAGCTGAGCTGAGCTGATGGATGAAGAGATTCCGAGAAAACCAACACAACTGGACGGGAGAAGCTTGGATCATGGCTCATGTTGCTGTCCAACTCATGCCAATGTTTGTTCAATGGCGCCATCTTAATTGTGTTACTTTCAAAATGTCATACAGTACGGTAATATTACATTTCACATTACTGCCATTTGAAAGTACTTGGTTGTACGTTATTAAAATCATGAGTTCAACAACAATAGAGCAGAGATGGACATTTCACTTTTCTGTAACACATTACACCTGATGATCACCATAATAAGATTACTTTTCATTAATTTGTACATTAAATTAAATGTTTTTACAGCTTCATAGATTAAAGTGGAAAGAAAAATTGGTCTTAATTCTTTTTTTTTTTTTTTACATCCGGCCATATATAAATAGGAATAAAACAAATAACAGTTTCATGCCAGATGCCACACAGAGTGACAGTCGATAATCCATGATGCTATAATGATTGACGTGGAAAGTCATCCAATGATGTACCAACAGTGGCTCAAAATCCAGCCAATAGGGGTGTTCACACGGCACACATTTGTATCCGTGCTGCACCGATGTATTTTGTTGCGATATATCTTACACCGGTGTACATTTTGTGGAGTGTTCAAACATATTAAGCTGCTTACTAAAGAGAAGCGTGTTAACCCCACTTGCGTTCACACGGCAGTTTCTGCGGCCGTAAGAATACGGAAATAAAACATGTGCATGCGTAAAGTGTACTTCCTTTTTCCCGCCTTGTTTGTGACATATCGAAAAACCATGGTTTATACTTCTCCAGAAAAATCAACGCTGTGGTCTATCAGACACCGTAAAATGATGAGAGAGAGAGATGGCGGAAGTACAACAGCGCACGAAAGCAACGCATTCAATATGCATGCAATCAACTCTTGTCACACGTAGCGAGTCTGCTCCTGGAGTGTTCACACGTCCCATTTTATATCGGTGCTGCCCCGCAAACTAGCATTTACTCCGGAGTAAATTTTTAAACCACCTCCTGAGCAGGGTTAAATTTGCTGCGGTTTAAGCTGTTTTCAGGGGCTACACCGGTATAACTTTGTACGTGTGAACGCTCTACGGGGGGCAGCCTGGGTGCTACAACGGAGTAAAAGTTGCCGTGTGAACACCCCTAATGATGATGCAGTCTGGCGGGACTTCAACAGAAACCAGTCGTGGGAAGACTGAGTTATAACTGAACGAATGGATTAGCTGAAAATGCTATGGGGTAGCAGACAGCATTACTGAAATGTTATTAGAAAGTTACCTCACTGATTTAAAGCAAAAATAAATAAATAAATAAAGATACTGTAAACCCGCTGTTGTAATGGTGTATTTTTCCGAACAGTGCTCAAAAACATGAACTTGGACAAAACAAACATGCACTCCATTCCTTGAGGAGATGCCATGGGAATGTCCTGCTGCTCATGTTCAAAACATGTTTACATTTAACCGTTGGAGAGCATAGTTGTGGTTAGACTTGATTAAAACAAGAAATTATTTTTGGCACTTATGGTTCGTCCGCTTTGAACACTCTTTGCAAATGGTGGCCAGAAAGGAAAGGCCCTCGCCAATTTTTACCCTTGTACACAATGAGCAAGCCAAACAGCAAATCTGGTGTTATGTAATCTGACTGGTATGAGTGTTGTGATCATTTCCAGCTGTAAATGTTAATCAGAAATAAAGTCTCTGGAATTGCACCAGTATTTTCTTCATTTGATCATAAATCCACTTTATGGTAGGAGTCCATTTTTGCTCCTCCACATCACATAATTGAACACTTGGGGCTTCATTTTCGTGATTGGTGTGAATCCCACGAGGGGCGTGACATATTTCGGCACAAAGGCAGGCTAGACCCGTTACTGGTAATGGTGCAGACAAGTGCAGGTTGGCATATCTGCAAGAGGGAGGGTTTCGCCGCTGTGGGAGTGCTCATTCATGGCTAATTCTTTCATTTCATTCCCTTTAAGTGCAGCGCACAAGTCGCGCATTACTATCTCAACATCGAGGAAACATAACTGCGCACTGGAGTGGGCATTTGGAGACCATCCCCCCTGCTTTAATTGGTGGTGTGCCCTGTCTCGACTGCACCTTACAGATTTGAAAAAGAAACAGAGTCATTGGTGTGTTCTAGAAATGAATTAGAATAAATTGTTGATTGCATTGATGCAGTTCCCACGGAGTGATGAGTTTGTTTGCCTGCGCAACACATTTTGTGTTTGCTATTCTTGAAAATATTCCATTTGAATTGTTTTTGTGACAAAGATGAGCACTAGGGTGGTCCACATTTTCATGGCAAAAAAAAAAGTTTGTCGGATTCGTCGGGCCGGGTCGGAATTCTTGTCGATACTATGGTACAAGGTTCTGTGCAAAATTTCATTCCGATCTGATGATATTTTCCCGTCCCGCAAAGCGGCCAAAGTTTCCACCATAACAACTGGTCTCAATAGGGTGAACATGTGTATTTTAACCGTGTATTTTGCCATGCGTGACACTGGCTGGGCTGAATGTTGCCCGAACGATCACCTCCTGACTAACTAACCATTCCATCGCTGCTCTCAGCAGCCGGAGACAAACTCAAACGCACGCCTAACACACAACGGTCACCTACTGGCGAGCTAATATCTTTCAATTGAAGTCGAGAATCGCCGGAATTCTTACTGGACGCTGAGCTGAGGACGCTTTTCGACATCGAACATCACCACGGCTCGTCGGCGCGCTCGTCACCTACGGGTGGTGAACGACTTTGCGGAGAGGGGCGTCGCCCTCATCAGCGCGTTCTGCGGCGCCATCACGCGCGACGAGGAACAGCGACAGCACCTTCTGCAGGTCGTGGAGCGACACCGGGCGTTGCACCCGTGCGCGAAGTAGGCATGGGATGGCACGCACGGCGGATTTCGTTTTTTTTGCGGTCTAACAGTGTCACTAGTGTTGATGGACATTATAGACAGATGGACAGATAGACAGATGGACCAGTTAACATGGACCAACAATCTCACCAGTGTTGAAGGATAACCACGGTTGCCTTTTTTGCAATACATGCGTTCCTGTCTTCCGTCTTTGAATTATTGCAAGTGCGAACTGAGCAAAACAAAATCCTTACTGTACGGGAGAAACCGTACTACCATTCAGCCCCGTAACATTCTTTCCATAGGGGAAACTTTGGTCGCTCTGCGGGGCGGGATAAAATTATCCGATCGGAATAAAATTTTGCACACATCCTTGTGTCATAGTATCGACAAGATTTCCGACCCGGCCCGACGAATCCGACAAACTTTTCCAAAATGGACCACCCTAATGAGCACCATTGCAATTTTCTTGCCTACGATGGTGTGAAGCATTTCCTGTTCTGTCACCTTGTTTGCTGGTCTCGCCATCAGAGGCAGTGCCCAGGGCTCCTGGAGGAGATGGCGAGGTGGTGGGGGTCACAGTCTGAGGCTTGTCGCCATCTTGACAGCGACTCTTAGAGGTCTCGATGCCTTTGACTCTCCTGGCATGGCGGTTTCCTTTGTAGTGGGCTTCAGCTTGGTTCTGTATGGCAACACGGAACGGAAATGTGGAAGGTAAACACAAATATACCACAAACAGGTCAACTACTGGTTATTCCGATACACTCATTCGTCACTGACTTTTTTACATATTTGATTCTCGCTCAGTGGCTGCAGGTGTGAGTGAATGGTTGTCTGTGGCCTGTGGTTGACTGGAGACCAATTCAGGGTGTAAACTGGCTTCATTTGCATCACATTTTTCTAACACTGTTTAACAGTCGCCTCATTCCTCTAAAGGGGCACAATAATAGAAAGCATTCTCATTAGGATGCGGTCCACATTATGCTATACTTTGGATTTCAACCACAATATATCATGATATGTTCTGTACCCTGATATAGGTCATTTTATATCCTGATTCTTGATGATGAATATGTTACTTTTCCATCAAGCGGAAGTCAACCCAAAACATTTCTTTGCAATACGTTCCATGTGCCACCACTAGTTTAAACACAGCATTCTGATGAATATTGCGTTGGTGGAAATCACGGCTCACCTGTTTTCTGAACTTGAGCCATGATTGGTTGTGACCTGAGGCCCGAGCATCTGTGATGTCATTTTCAGTTGACAGAAGGTGGCAAAATTGCCGCCGTTGGAGATGGATAAAAACAGATGGATTTTCCTGCTTAACGCTTATTCCACAAACGCAATATTTATCAGAATGCCAGGTTTAGACTAGAAGAACATATTCTTGTAAAGGAGATTTTTTTTTAGGTTGACTTCCTCTTTAATATTAAATGAAATATATGGCATTTCCCCCCATTTATTGGCAAAACAAATCCAAACATAAATATCAAGTGCAAAAATCCGATTTGACTTATCAGGTAGTACAGCCAGGCTTCATGGAACGTACACTGTTGTTGGGATTAACATCATGTCGTGTCATGTTTTTTTTTCCATCCATTCTCCTCTAGCAGCATTATAAAGCTTGTAGGCTTGCTGCAGTTGCATTAACCATTCATTTTTCATCCATAGATTGTTAGTGACGCATAGTCGTGACACAAAAACTCAGGGACTCATTCTACCTTGGAATGCATCATCTGGAAAAATACTGCAAGAGACTCAAGTGTGTTAACTAGAAGGCTAAGAGCCCGGGCTGCTAACCCACACGCCGGTGTTTCTCACTGACTACCATACTTTAGCACAACACGAGCATTCCGCATAACAGTAAGAGTTGCCTCTTCAGCTGGTCGTCCCGGTGCCCCTCTCTCCAGGAATGACTAATCAATTTATATTCATAATAATAATAATAATAATACATTTTATTTGAAGCGCCTTTCACAACACCCAAGGACACTTTACAAACGAGCAAACAATAAGACAAATAAAGAATAAATAAAACCACAGATAAAATTATAAATACAAGAGATATATTTAAGTGGAATAAGCCAGTCTGAAAAGGTGAGTTTTGAGCTGGGTTTTGAATGTGGGAAGAGAATCAATGTTGCGAATGTTGGGGGGAAGGGAGTGCC